TCTATCATTCATTGCTAATGATTATTGTGAAGTGCTAGCTACCAGTGCACTTTATAGGAAGCTATTAGCCGTTTGAAATATTTAATCTTTTTTAACTTAAATTTAATTTAATTACGCAATAAGAAATATGAATTCATAAAGACATTACGCTGGTGGATGCACGAAAAAGGCTCATACCAGCATCTTCGCTGAAAGTAAACGTGGCGTTTCCAAGAGAAACAGTCGATGCATCGTTGGGTCCATCAATAATGACCTTGGCCACCGACACGTCGCCCATGCGTGCGTTATCGGAGGTGTCTGAAAGCACCAGCTCGAACTCCTCGGACAGTTCATACTCGCTGTCATCGATGAGCTTAACGTCACAGGTGGACATGCTGACTCCAGGACCGAAGATCACTCGGTTGTCGGTGGTCATGCCGCGGCTCTTGTAGTCAGAGCCGGACTCCAGAGCGTGGAGGCTGCTGCCCTGTGCTGACTTGGCTACGGTGTAGCAGAGAGCAGAGACTGTGCTGGAGGTATCACCTGAGCAGAAATGACGTGAGACAACAAGGTCATACAGTGTGTGCAGGAATTAAAGTGAAAATGAAAAGAAAGAAATTATGAAACATTCGTGAAGCATGAAATGTTAGAAACCCCTCTGCAGTGTTTACCTTTCCTTTCAATGGGAGCATGGATTAAGCCTGAGCTTTCGTTGACGTGGTAAATCTTCTTGTCAAACTGCAAAGTGGGTTCGTCTTCTGTGTCGTTGATGTTGACGACAGCGCGCGTGTTTCCACCCAGCAGCGCGTACACGGGCATGCTGAGCTCCACATGGAAGCTCTCGATCCCCTCAAACACCTTGTCGTCGTTAATGACTATAGTGCACACCTTTGTGTCCTCACGCTCATCAAACTGCACCTGGAAAACAATGAGGAGGCATTAAAGAAGTGATTACAAAACCTTAACTTAACATAGGCTAGTTATAGATGATACACTTCACTGAATGTCAAGTAAAGCAAAGTGTGCCCACTTTACTGAATCTTTTTCCTCCTCAAACCTCCATGTACACAAAGGAGTACCTCAGGGTTCCATATTAGGACCACTGATGTTTGTATTACAAACATTACGTTCCTGTTGCACTCCACTTAAAACTGATGAACATGCAAAAAGATTCCAGGTTCACGTTACTCCCAAGATGTTAAGGTCAAAAACTGCTCGATGCTGTGGATCTGTTTTTATGCTTGATCCTGTGGTCCACAAGTTCATGAACAGGAGAGTAAGACCTAACCTTGGATTATTTTGTTGTTATAAAGATAAATAAGATTTTAGCAGCATTTGAAATTTAGCAGAAGAAAATTACTGGTTTCCAGACTAAATGAAGAACACAAACTCACAGGAGAGAAATAAATTCAATTAAAAGAGAAATGTTCATTTTTTAAACGTGGAATATCGAGTTTCTACCTGCCCAGCATATTCCACGTAGTCTTGCTGTCCAGGTCTGGATCCGACGCTGCTCGTGGAGGTGGCGCTGCCCTGTTCAGTGCGGCAGAGCACGATGGCATACTGGTTGAGATTACCGGTTCGCTTCACGGTCACCGCCACTGTGCCGGCCTTCTCACTCACATTGTAGCTGTGAAGAAGCAGGAAGGTAAAAGGGTGGGTGTCCAACGGGTAATCTTTATAAAATATGTATATTTTTTTTTGAAATGGTGCAGACCTTTTGTGCTCAAAGCTGATGAGGGACCACTGGATGTGGAAGACGTTGTCACTGACCACATTTGGTTTGCTGTCTTTGACCAGAAACTTGAAGTTGTCCATGGTTTCCTGGACGTTCTCCTGATGAAGCACGTACCGGATCAGACCCAGATTGATATCGGCTACAAAGAAAAAAAGCCACATTAGCAACGATCAAACTCTAGCATTATTGCTCCTTTACGGTTTTAGTACAAGACAAAGAGGAATGGAGCAGAGAATTTGTAAATTTGAAATCTCGCTCTGACTTCTGGTTTCAGTGGATTATGAATAAGGCACAGCACTGTTTCATTTCAGGTCAGACACATGAATACAGTTTTAACTAACAGGGTTATCTAAATGTATTTCTCTGTTTGGGTTTTTTAGTGTTAGTGCTTCTATTAAAGCTTCTTCATCAGTTCATTCATGTCTCCCAATTGTTTTTTATGTTTCAATCACTTCTTGTTTCAGTAGCCGTTTGGCTCGATTTATTACTTTGTTACCGCAATGTTTTCTTCCACCCAGCAATGCTTTTCTGATCCTCCAGAGGATCCCAAGGAGATCTCAGACCAGATGAGACATAAAGTATAAGCTCTCTGAAAAATACCCAGGTGAGATCCAGCTGGATGTCTTAGAGCCTCACCCTAAAGTTGAGCTCAACGCTGCCTCAGAAGGAGATGTACATAATTATTTAAGCGATTCAGACTCAATTTTAAGAAAATACCATTACTAAGAAGTAGTCAGAGTCAGTCAAAAACAACCACATGGGTTCAAAATGTGCTGAAAATAATGTTTTAAATATGCCAAAAATGTCACGAAGCACTGCAGCAGGTTTTTAAATCAGCAGGAGAGCCAAATTCACACGATGGTCTTTAAAGACAATTAGTGCTGATTTTTATGCTTGCACACAATTTAACTGTGAGGAGGCGGACACCCAAAAAAGACTGATTGAATCTTAATAGTAAAAATCTTTTGCAAAGAAGGCATCTCTTGGAAAATATTACTTCCATAATTTGCAGCCTTGGGCCAATTCACAGTACTTGGAGAAATAAAATAGCCTAGAAATGAATGTGAAAGTTATTATTGGCTCTGGGTTTCTGCTCATTTACACCTTTCCACAGAAGGTTGTAGAAAAGGAAACACTTAGATGTGAGCCCCACTGCTTCAAAATTGGCCAAATGACCTTCAGGAAGCTCAGCATAAACACCACAGAGATGAAGACAGTACTAAATTATGCATTAATATCCAGAATAGTAATATCTCAAACATAATTTTAGATTGAGTACAAGCATTTGGCAGAATATGGGAGCAAATGCTCACAGTCGGGGTGATGTTGACAGTGTGTACTAGAAATCTCATCGGTTTTATTTATTCATATTGCCTCCATCTCTCGCGCTCAGGCTAAGGGTTATTTCACTTATTGGAAATTTATTATCATTAAGAAAACGATGTTTACAAGCTTCAAATTGAGCATGCGACACATCAAAGTGGCTGTTTATACTTGCTCTCTGCAGCCTGGAGGATCAACATTTTACAACAACAGGCTGACACTGATCCTCGTCTGCAGCCTTGAGGTGAACATAAGCAGGCTCATGATGAGAGCACTGCTGATTTAAACTGCAAATTAGCTGAGTAAACGTGTGCAACGGGAAATATAGCAGACACGTGGTGTCATTCAGCGGAGAAATGATCAGAGCGAAGAATGTGGGGTCAAGCTTTTGTCCCTCCTTCTCACTGTGAAGGCAAAATCTTTTGTTTCCCTCTCCTCTACCTTCCAACAGGCGCCGAGTTTTCTCTGCAGCGGCACGAAGGATGCAGGATGAACAGAAGAGGGCACCGATGCAACACTGAACTGGTGCAGTGAAGGAAACAGGTGGCTCCATATACACTGATAGAGAAGTCTTTGTGGTTTATGTCATCCGCTGAGGGAGTTTAGAAGGAAAGCCCAGGAGCAGCGGGTTTCCAATATGTGAGTCCCAACAGCTCTGAGGCATAGCTAATCCTCAGGCATTAAAAAGTCCTTCAAATGAAACTATCTCAGAAGAGAAAAAAGATTGAACTTGAAGGGAGTCAGAAAGCCATGGCTTCATTTTAAAGAGTCATAAGGGTTTGATTTGGAAACCTAAACTGGCACTAACTGCAGCAGTACACAGTATATCCCAACTATCACTGCGGTGATCCCACACTAACCTGATAAGATAACCATCCTGCATATCAAAAAGTAGCCTTCATTTCCTTTTAATATCGTACACCATCAGCCCATTGATGTGAGTTTTTAAAATGCACATGTAGTACATGGTTTATTAGTATTCACTATGACACAAAAAAGGAAAATTATCCTAATTTTTTAGGAATATTTGAAGCAGGAAAAGCAAAAAAAACATCAAAGCTCACAGGAGGAGGGGGAAAGCAAAACTGCACCCACTCTTTTGCTCAACCTGTGTTGAGCTGATGGAAATTTTCTTTGATATAAAATTCAGTTAAATTAAAATTATTGGAGATCAGCAATCAGACCACTGCTGCCAAGGTAAACTGTGCTCATGGTCAAACAAACGTCTTTATTCAAAGGAAAACAGTAACAAAATCTGACACCAGGGGACGAATGTGGACACAGTTCACTTTTCTGTTAGTTTGTTTTTAGCCAGTGTCCCACTCTTGAGTGTGCTGAGGAATGTTGAGAATCCCATAAATAATTTATATTGATATTTCTGGGAGTAAAAAAAAAGATTTACTGTTAAAAGAAAAATTCTTCTGCTTCTTGCAAATTTTTAAACTCTGTACCTATGCTGATAAAAATGCAGTTTCATGCAGTCAAAGCCAAAAGTTTTAGCTATGACTCAAAAAACTTTTAATTTGCTGATCTCTGACGGGCTTAGCTATCACATTTGCCTTAAATTGGTGCTCCACAATGCTCAAAATGCTCAAAATGAGATGACCTTTGAGGACACTTTAGTGGATATCAGCTTGTGGACTAATTGGGATTTGGCCCTGATTGGTTCCAGCATGCCACAGAGAGTTGCAAAAGTTGCAAAGAAGAAGTGTCACCACTATAAATACAGACTCTCTGGATAAATTTGATGAACTGACTCTTTTTTTGGACAAGGATTGAAGCTGTCTGAGGAGGAGAAGTTAAGAGGGATGGGTTGTCTAATAAGTTAAAATGTTACTGCTGTAAATATAAAGGCAACAGAGAGAGTTTCGGTACCTTGTGTGAATGTGGTAATGGGGTTCCCAGGTTTCAGCTTGCTCTCCAGGAAGCCGTGCTTTGGCTCTGTGGTGATTTCATAAACCAGCTGTCCATCATCTGTGTCCGGGTCCATGGTCAGCAGCTCCTTCTTGGTGATCAGATTGGTGGCCTGACAGACATCAGACAGGATTGACTCAAATTTCCTGTTTTTCAGTTTTCACCGCACAGAAATCATCTCACAGTGCAAGAATTCATTACTGGGGATTTCATTCACAATGTCACACTATGATTCAGCTGAGCAGGAAGCTTTTCTTTTCAATTTCAGCTTCCCTGATGTAGCTATCATAGCAAAAATACAGCTGTTAAGAAGCGTCGCCTCACTACTGGCTCAAAAAACAGAAATCAGCATATCCAACATCACAACAACTAAAAAAACGTGTTTGCTTCTGTATCTGATCTCGACATTGACATTCAGCCAACAAAATTTTAAAGAGCCCCTCCTCTGAAGGGCAAAGTAGTTAACTTTTCTATTCTGTTAATGGACAGCATCTGGTTTATGTGGGTTATAAACTCGCTAATTGTTCCAGTGAGTTTGGATAAATTATTGGGAAATGCTATTGTACACACTGATCTCCCCACTTAAGTACAGATTAGCATCCAAACTGTTGTTATTTGACTCTTAGTTGGATGAAGGACTTTAGACTGATCTCTACGTTGTCTTTACAAGTATTCCAAAGTTTAAAACCACCAGCATGCACATCTGGAACATGTAAAAAATAAATCCACCAGTGTTGAGAAACATTTGTTTCTAAAACGGATAAATTCACCACAGAAGGTGGTGCGATGGCTTAAAATGTTTTTTGGTCTCGTATGTTTTAAAGATGTTTCATTTATGATTATTACAAATAAGTTTCAATGTATCCAACAAACAAAGTTCATATCAGCTGTGTTTTTAAAGCCGTTTCTTCTGCAAACTACTTTGCAACCAACCTTCTTTTTAGATTTGCCAGTAACTTCTACGTGGACGCTGGGCTGGGAACTACAGTTCTGGAAATCCTTGATTTGAACATTTTCAGGTTCAGGTTATTTTATTTTTAACCGTAGGTAGATTTGTTCTCGTGAATTGAAGAAACAACAGAAAACAAAAAAAATACTGACAACAAAAATTTATACTAATTTTCATGTAATCCACAAAAGTGACTTTTTAAACCTTGTCGTTTTACAGTTTGGGACCAGACGCCTTTGTCCGGGAGGAAGAAAAACGAATCTCACTGTGTAAAGAAAAATGAAACCAGCCGACCGCTGTAACTGTCTGGTGGACAGGGAACTTCAGCTGTGGTTCATCAGTCAACCTGATAGACCACAGAGTTTCTGCTCTTTTCAGATAACTATCCAAACCACACCAACTAAAAGGACAAAACAGATTCAATAAAAGCACGATGAAATAAAACCATCATGGTTTCATCAAACCATCAATGTGGACACAAGAAAGCCTTCTTAAACACGAGAGCTGCTGGTGCTCTTTCCTGCACACAGCTTCACAGTTTGCTTTGAAATTCAGCTTTGAATCAAAAGTGAGATATTTATAACACTGAACACTTTCCACATTTTGATTGCACGCTCCTAAGTTACAGGCAGGGCAACGATGCTGTAATGCATGCCCCACTTTACCTAAAGAGGACCACAATTAGTAACCGAAACATCGTGTTGTATTAAATCACAGGTGTCGAACTCCAGGCCTCGAGGGCCGGTGTCCTACAGGTTTTAGATGTTTCCTTGATCCAACACAGCTGATTCAAATGGATAAATTACCTCCTCAACATGTCTTGAAGTTCTCCAGAAACCTGGTAATAAACTAATCATTTGATTCAGGTGTGTTGACCCAAGGTGATATCAAAGGCTATGTCGACACGTAC